CTTTCTTTCTTTCTCACTTGCTCTTTCTTTCTTTCTCACTTGCTCTTTCTTTCTTTCTTTCTCACTTGCTCTTTCTTTCTTTCTCATTTGCTCTTTCTTTCTTTCTCGCTTGCTCTTTCTTTCTTTCTCACTTTCTTTTTTTCTCACTTGCTCTTTTTTTCTTTCTCACTTGCTCTTTCTTTCTTTCTCACTTGCTCTTTCTTTCTTTCTTTCTTTCTCACTTTTTTTCTTTCTTTCTCACTATCTTTCTTTCTTTCTCACTTGCTCTTTCTTTCTCACTTTCTCTTTCTTTCTTTCTAACTTTCTTTCTCATTTGCTCTTTCTTTCTTTCTCACTTGCTCTTTTTTTCTTTCTCACTTGCTCTTTCTTTCTTTCTCACTTGCTCTTTCTTTCTTTCTTTCTCACTTGCTCTTTCTTTCTTTCTCACTTGCTCTTTCTTTCTATCTTTCTCACTTTCTATTTATTTCTTTCTAACTTTCTTTCTCACTTGCTCTTTCTTTCTTTCTCATTTGCTCTTTCTTTCTTTCTCACTTTTTTTCTTTCTTTCTTTCTAACTTTCTTTCTCACTTTCTTTCTTTCTTTCTCAATTTCTCTTTCTTTCTTTCTAACTTTCTTTCTCACTTTCTTTTTTTCTTTCTCACTTGCTCTTTCTTTCTTTCTCACTTGCTCTTTCTTTCTTTCTCACTTGCTCTTTCTTTCTTTCTCACTTGCTCTTTTTTTCTTTCTCACTTGCTCTTTCTTTCTTTCTCACTTGCTCTTTCTTTCTTTCTTTCTCACTTGCTCTTTTTTTCTTTCTCACTTGCTCTTTTTTTCTTTCCACTTGCTCTTTCTTTCTTTCTCACTTGCTCTTTCTTTCTTTCTCACTTGCTCTTTCTTTCTTTCTTTCTCACTTGCTCTTTCTTTCTTTCTCACTTGCTCTTTCTTTCTATCTTTCTCACTTTCTATTTATTTCTTTCTAACTTTCTTTCTCACTTTCTTTCTTTCTTTCTCATTTGCTCTTTCTTTCTTTCTCACTTTTTTTCTTTCTTTCTTTCTAACTTTCTTTCTCAATTTCTTTCTTTCTTTCTCAATTTCTCTTTCTTTCTTTCTAACTTTCTTTCTCACTTTCTTTTTTTCTTTCTCACTTGCTCTTTCTTTCTTTCACACTTGCTCTTTCTTTCTCACTTTCTTTCTTTCTCACTTGCACTTTCTTTCTTTCTCACTTGCTCTTTCTTTCTTTCTCACTTGCTCTTTTTTTTCTCACTTGCTCTTTCTTTCTTTCTCACTTGCTCTTTCTTTCTCACTTTCTTTCTTTCTTTCTCACTTGCTCTTTTTTTCTTTCCACTTGCTCTTTCTTTCTTTCTCACTTGCTCTTTCTTTCTTTCTCACTTGCTCTTTCTTTCTTTCTCACTTGCTCTTTCTTTCTTTCTCACTTGCTCTTTCTTTCTTTCTTACTTGCTCTTTCTTTCTCACTATCTTTCTTTCTCACTTGCTCTTTCTTTCTCACTTTCTTTCTTTCTCACTTGCTCTTTCTTTCTTTCTCACTTGCTCTTTCTTTCTTCCTCACTTGCTCTTTTTTTCTTTCTCACTTGCTCTTTCTTTCTTTCTCACATGCTCTTTCTTTCTCACTATCTTTCTTTCTTTCTCACTTGCTCTTTCTTTCTCACTTTCTTTCTTTCTCACTTGCTCTTTCTTTCTTTCTTACTTGCTCTTTCCTTCTTTCTCGCTTTCTTTCTTTTTTTCTTGCTCTTTCTGTCAATCTGGTTGTCTGCATGTTTCTGTTGCTCCCTGAATATGTCTGTATGTCTGTCTGTCCGTCGATCCGTCTGTCCGTCAATCCGTCCGTCTGTCCGTCAATCCGTCCGTCTGTCTGTCTGTCCGTCAATCCATCCGTCTGTCTGTCTGTCCGTCAATCCATCCGTCTGTCTGTCTGTCTGTCCGTCAATTCGCCCGACAATCCATCCGTCTGTCTGCCTGTCTGTCCGTCAATCCGCCTGTCCGACAATCCGTCCGTCTGTCTGTCTGTCTGTCTGTCTGTCCGTCAATCCGTCCGTCAATCCTTCCGTCCGACAATCCGTCCGTCCGTCTGTCTGTCCGTCAATCCGTCCGTCTGTCCGTCCGTCTGTCTGTCCATCTGTCTGTCTGTCTGTCTGTCCGTCAATCCGTCCGTCAATCTGCCTGTCTGTCCGTCCGTCTGTCTGTCTGTCCATCAATCCATCCGTCTGTCTGTCTGTCCGTCAATCCATCCGTCTGTCTGTCTGTCCGTTAATTCGTCCGTCAATCCGTCCGTCTGTCCGTCTGTCTGTCCGTCAATCCGCCCGTCTGTCTGTCTCCGTCAATCCGTCCGTCGGTCTGTCCGTCAATCTGTCCGTCTGTCTGTCTGTCCGTCAATCCGTCCGTCTGTCTGTCTGTCCGTCAATCCATCCGTCTGTCTGTCTGTCCGTCAATCCATCCGTCTGTCTGTCTGTCTGTCCGTCAATTCGCCCGACAATCCATCCGTCTGTCTGCCTGTCTGTCCGTCAATCCGCCTGTCCGACAATCCGTCCGTCTGTCTGTCTGTCTGTCTGTCTGTCTGTCCGTCAATCCGTCCGTCAATCCTTCCGTCCGACAATCCGTCCGTCCGTCTGTCTGTCCGTCAATCCGTCCGTCTGTCCGTCCGTCTGTCTGTCCATCTGTCTGTCTGTCTGTCTGTCCGTCAATCCGTCCGTCAATCTGCCTGTCTGTCCGTCCGTCTGTCTGTCTGTCCATCAATCCATCCGTCTGTCTGTCTGTCCGTCAATCCATCCGTCTGTCTGTCTGTCCGTTAATTCGTCCGTCAATCCGTCCGTCTGTCCGTCTGTCTGTCCGTCAATCCGCCCGTCTGTCTGTCTCCGTCAATCCGTCCGTCGGTCTGTCCGTCAATCTGTCCGTCTGTCTGTCTGTCCGTCAATCCGTCCGTCTGTCCGTCCGTCCGTCTGTCAGTCCGTCCGTCTGTCTGTCCATCTGTCTGTCTGTCTGTCTGTCAATCCGTCTGTCTGTCCGTCCGTCTGTCTGTCTGTCCGTCAATCCGTCCATCCGTCCGTCCGTCTGTCTGTCCATCTGTCTGTCTGTCCGTCTGTCCGTCCGTCTATCCGTCCGTCTGTCTGTCCATCCATCTTCCAACAATCCCCCCCCCCCCCCCCCCACCAAGCTGACGTGTGCCTGTCCTTGTCTGCAGGTTGAACATCTTTTGGAGTGCGCCAACGTGGTCTGTCAGCCCAACCACTCAACCTTGACCTTGATGAGAAAGTTCATATGGGTGGGTCAGATGTGTGGTGACCCAGGTCAGCTGGAGCAGGTCTGGGCATCTAATTAGTCAACTAATTAGTCTACTAATTAGTCTACTAATTTGTCAACAGTTCCAAGTCTTAATTAGTTGGGTGATATTCTCAGGATTACAATAAAATACACTGAAGATAAAAACTGTGTCGGTGTGTGTGTGTCGGTGTGTCATACAAGTGTGTCGGTGTGTCATACAACTGTGTCGGTGTGTGTGTGTCGGTGTGTCATACAAGTGTGTCGGTGTGTCATACAACTGTGTCGGTGTGTGTGTGTCGGTGTGTCATACAACTGTGTCGGTGTGTGTGTGTCGGTGTGTCATACAACTGTGTCGGTGTGTGTGTGTGTCGGTGTGTCATACAACTGTGTCGGTGTGTGTGTGTGTGTCGGTGTGTCATACAACTGTGTCGGTGTGTCACACAACTGTGTCGATGTGTCACACAACTGTGTCGGTGTGACATACAACTGTGTCGGTGTGTGTGTGTCGGTGTGTCATACAACTGTGTCGGTGTGTCATACAACTGTGTCGGTGTGTCATACAACTGTGTCGGTGTGTCACACAACTGTGTCGGTGTGTGTGTCGGTGTGTCATACAACTGTGTCGGTGTGTCATACAACTGTGTCGGTGTGTCATACAACTGTGTCGGTGTGTCACACAACTGTGTCGGTGTGTGTGTGTCGGTGTGTCATACAACTGTGTCTGTGTGTGTGTGTGTCGGTGTGTCATACAACTGTGTCGATGTGTCACACAACTGTGTCGGTGTGTCATACAACTGTGTCGGTGTGTGTGTGTCGGTGTGTCATACAACTGTGTCGATGTGTCACACAACTGTGTCGGTGTGTGTGTGTCGGTGTGTCATACAACTGTGTCTGTGTGTCACACAACTGTGTCCTTCACGTGTCTGTTACAATGAACCCTAAAAATACGAATAATTCCAAATTCTTTCATTTTTTTAAATTCTTGAGCTCAGTCTTGACTGTAGTCGTGACTCAGATGTTCCTTTGACTTTCCAATCTATGGCCAGCTGCGACTTGACCCCCCCCCCCCCACCGTCTTGTCACATCATGTTACGGCTTGGCTGGCTCTTTTTTACTTTCTCGTACATACAGCGTATAGAGAAAATATTGTAATCGTGCACAAAAAAAAAATCACACCTCCCTGAGTCGGAGAAACATAATTTTGCAATCTTGTTCGTATGTCTGTGTGTGTGTGTGTGTGTGTCTGTATGTATATGTGTCAGTAAACACGATAACTTGAGTACTGTTATAGCTAAGTTGATGATATTTCATATAAAAGTATCAAAATCGTAGAATCGAATCAACTTTTGAGCGATTTCCGGTCACCGGAAGTTGAACTTTTTCTACTTTCAATTATAACTTGAGTACTATTTCAGATAGATTAATGAAATTTCACATATAAGTAAAAGATATATTTCTCTACCTTCTATCAAATTTTGAGTAATTTCCGTTGACTGCATGTAGTAATTTACGCTATTTCCGATTTCTCAAAAAACGCATGTGAATTTATAAAGTACTAATAATATCCCGCACTATTATGCACATTTTGTTTGGCGTTCACTTGGTGTATAATTCTTTGTTCTACAAGATTCTATTCTTAAAAAGTATACAAAAATATTTATAAAAAGTTTAATTAAAAATGGATTAAAAATATTGTCTATATCCCGAGTTGCCATCCCCCGTACTGTTATATAAGAATATTCGAGAAAGTTTAGGGGAGATCACTCCCGGTTTATTTCTGTTTTAAAATGGCGCTCAGTGTTTGACAGTTTTCTGTATGAGACAACCGACACAGTAGTCTGCGCTCAATGCTGTTTGTACGTGCGTTGGACGAAGGTTTGCAGGCAATATTCCCTCATGTAGCTGTCAGGCTCTCCGCAGCAGTCCATGAACACGTCCGTGAAATCCTCAGGGTGCCGGGTGCCGCACTGGATAGACAAGAAACATTTGCTAGATAATAGACAAGAAACATTTGCTAGATGATAGACAAGAAACATTTGCTAGATGACAGACAAGAAACATTTGCTAGATGACAGACAAGAAACATTTGCTAGATGACAGACAAGAAACATTTGCTAGATGACAGACAAGAAACATTTGCTAGATGACAGACAAGAAACATTTGCTAGGTGATAGACAAGAAACATTTGCTAGATGACAGACAAGAAACATTTGCTAGGTGATAGACAAGAAACATTTGCTAGATGACAGACAAGAAACATTTGCTAGATGACAGACAAGAAACATTTGCTAGATGACAGACAAGAAACATTTGCTAGGTGATAGACAAGAAACATTTGCTAGATGACAGACAAGAAACATTTGCTAGATGACAGACAAGAAACATTTGCTAGGTGATAGACAAGAAACATTTGCTAGATGACAGACAAGAAACATTTGCTAGGTGATAGACAAGAAACATTTGCTAGATGACAGACAAGAAACATTTGCTAGATGACAGACAAGAAACATTTGCTAGATGACAGACAAGAAACATTTGCTAGGTGATAGACAAGAAACATTTGCTAGATGACAGACAAGAAACATTTGCTAGATGATAGACAAGAAACATTTGCTAGGTGATAGACAAGAAACATTTGCTAGATGACAGACAAGAAACATTTGCTAGATGATAGACAAGAAACATTTGCTAGGTGATAGACAAGAAACATTTGCTAGATGATAGACAAGAAACATTTGCTAGATGATAGACAAGAAACATTTGCTAGATGACAGACAAGAAACATTTGCTAGATGATAGACAAGAAACATTTGCTAGATGACAGACAAGAAACATTTGCTAGGTGATAGACAAGAAACATTTGCTAGATGACAGACAAGAAACATTTGCTAGATGACAGACAAGAAACATTTGCTAGATGACAGACAAGAAACATTTGCTAGATGACAGACAAGAAACATTTGCTAGATGACAGACAAGAAACATTTGCTAGGTGATAGACAAGAAACATTTGCTAGATGACAGACAAGAAACATTTGCTAGATGATAGACAAGAAACATTTGCTAGATGATAGACAAGAAACATTTGCTAGATGATAGACAAGAAACATTTGCTAGATGATAGACAAGAAACATTTGCTAAATGATAGACAAGAAACATTTGCTAGATGACAGACAAGAAACATTTGCTAGATGACAGACAAGAAACATTTGCTAGATGATAGACAAGAAACATTTGCTAGATGACAGACAAGAAACATTTGCTAGATAATAGACAAGAAACATTTGCTAGATGATAGACAAGAAACATTTGCTAGATGACAGACAAGAAACATTTGCTAGATGACAGACAAGAAACATTTGCTAGATGATAGACAAGAAACATTTGCTAGGTGATAGACAAGAAACATTTGCTAGGTGATAGACAAGAAACATTTGCTAGGTGATAGACAAGAAACATTTGCTACGTGATAGACAAGAAACATTTGCTAGATGATAGACAAGAAACATTTGCTAGATGACAGACAATTATGGCAGGAATCGATTGGTAAATGTTTCAAGTCGCTAAGTGGTCTGGTTGCCGAGATATGGGCCAAAAACTACATTTTTTCGAGTTTTTTTTGGCTTTTCCGGGAAATCCAGGAAGGAATTCCGGGAATTTTTTTGGCCCACAATCATCCTCGGAGCTTGCTTAACATATTTGCCTTAGGAACTAGTCCTTGATATTGCTTCGTTGAGGAGGAGATACGACTTAAAGCTGCGGTAAAGCTGTGGACACACATCCAGAAATGACGAATTAATAATCGCAATTCCAGTATGGAAATTGCGCTAAACAAGTTAATAAAAAGTCTAGTGACAATTTAAGCGCAATTTCCTTATGTTAACCATAACAATTTTTATTTTTTTGTGACCGAACGAAAGGATATTTTTTTGCGCTAAAAACCTACACGATGCTCAGTTTAAATTTAAAATATCATCCTAGGCCTACAAGATGCTCAGTTTAAAAATTCTTAATTAATTTATTGTGACCGAACGAAAGGATATTTTTGAAAACTTTCTTCGGCAATATTGGTTTAAATTATGGCAGGAATCGATTGGTAAATGTTTCAAGTCGCTAAGTGGTCTGGTTGCCGAGATATGGGCCAAAAACTGCATTTGTTCGAGTTTTTTTTGGCTTTTCCGGGAAATCCAGGAAGGAATTCCGGGAATTTTTTTGGCCCACAATCATCCTCGGAACTTGCTTAACATATTTGCTTTTGGAACTAGTCCTCGATATTGCTTCGTTGAGGAGGAGATACGACTTAAAGCTGCGGACACACATCCATCCATTCATTCATTCATCCATCCAGAAATGACGAGTTAATAATCGCAATTGTCCAGTATGGAAATTGCGCTAAAAAATCATTTATCTCGAAATATAGCTAATCACGCGAAAATTAAGCTGTTATCTGATTTTGTATTGTTCGATCAATGATTACATTGTTTAGGACAGCTAAAAATACTGATAATGTTCAATTGTGTTAGCCATACCATGGTCTAAAACGCAGAAATTATGTTCAAATGTCTCGTTTTATTTCAATCTAGCATCCATCAAGGTGAATAACACTTGGAAATAGCTAAAGCTGTGACTAGTACATTTAAATATACACACATGATCACAAATATTGTTATTATTCATCGAAAATATAATATAATTAAATATAAATAATTGATTTTTTTGAGGGGCGTACTTGAAACTTTTAGGTGGAGGGGCTTAAATTTCCGGGGGAAGGTGGACACTGATAAAAGTATGTTTTCTATATAAATTTCATTTTGTTCTGTAGGCAGAGCCCCCCCCCCCCTCCTGCCTGGGAGAAACTCTGCCCTCAGTGAATTTGCAAAAGTCGATCCGGTCCAGTCCCAGATGTCATCCACCCATCTATTCTTTTGTTACCCTCGCTATCTCCCCCCCCCCCCCCCTTACGGGCGTACATTAGGACATCAGACATCATATTTCTAGGGCCCGGATCCGTCTCTGAAGTCCTGTATTGAGTGTTCATGGCTCTCATCCGTGTATGCACCTCACTATGCACACAGCTACCAATCTAGCACCAGCAATCCCCTTACTAAGCTTCGTAAAAGTTAACAAAGTAAAACTTGTATCGGGAACCTTTGGAAGGGAATATTATTGGGTCATGACAACAGTACATAGCTAATTCACTTTTCTAATATATGTTGCTTGAGTTCTCTTATATGAAGAGTGTTAACCAACCCCCATGACTGACTCATTTCACCTAAATCGTGACCAATTTCAGTATTCTAGTTTGGTATAATTTTAATATCACACACTAGTAAATTTACAGCAATATTATATTATTGTATATTCAATGGTATTAAATACTTCACTTAGTGTAATTCAGAAAACTTAAAAATAAAATGTAAGTTTTTCAATATTTTCAATTGTTTTATACAAAAATATATAAGAAAATATAGGTCAAAGTAATAATTAAATATCTATAAATACTACTTAACACCCCAAAGTCAACAGTTAACAAATTCAACAATTGTTTCACCATAAATAACCATTTAACATAAACGTTTGCATCTGTGTTTCTCGCTAGAGTCAAATAAATGTGACCTTTGTGTAACAATCTACATGGGGCCTTTCGTTGCTAGCGTCCCACTTATGGGGCGCTTGTTGTACACTTGATATAACGAAGTAGTTTTTAAAAAAAATGTTACTCTTACATTTTTATCAGATAGAAATATGGTACTGCTACAAATTTTAAATGTATTTTGCACTTAAAATGTTAATATTTTAGAAGATATGCATATTCCTGTGCGCATGTTTTCTTTTTTCCGCCATTTTGACAAGTTCTGCAAAGCCGGTGCTATAACATTTTTCTAAATTGTTTTTTTTTTCAAAAAAACTTACACAAATTCAATAGTCTAACCATTTTCAAATACAACATAATTTGTGTTTTAACTAGTTTTTAATAAATTTTAGCAATTTTTTTTACAAGCATCCCATAAGTGGGACGCTAGCAGAATATGGGTTAAGGATGAGACCAGAGAAGCGCTCGACTCTTCACCTGAAAGGGGACGGTGAAGGCTGAGGGACACTTAGATTCACTCAGTAGAAAACTACTGACAGGAGCAGAGAAAGTTGCAAAAGCTTGGCTTTCACTGGCGGCCCCATTTACCCTGGGCATCGACGGTAAATGATGATGATGATGAATTTAGAAAAGTTACTATACTATTATAATTCTCATAAAATTCATGGAAAAATATTTTTAAAAACATAATTTTTCGATAAACCAAAACCCAAGTTTGTCGTCTTTGAATTCACATATCAATTTCTCATGTTGCATTTCGATGTTTTAATTGCAAAAAAATAAAAAAATGAAAAGTAAAAAAAATAAAATTCTTTTTTCAAAACACCTTGAAATTACTCATTGAAGGGAAAACGGAGATCAGTCAAGAAGTAACTAGATCTATATCAAATTGACGTCTTTATATTGATTTTAAAACTTTGAATACTTTTGGAAACTGCTAGAATTCTTCACCTTCTAAATTTTATTTCTGGCACAAACTACGAACAATACGATTTTTAGTTTTGATTGTTGTGTATTTTTTACAAGCTTTTATTTAACTCACTTCCTCGTGTCGCCAGTCGTCAGTTTGTCTAGATCGAAACGCCGGAGCGAAATTGCAGGCACTTCTACTTGACAGATTCGGTTCGTAATTGGTACGTGGGTCAAGACATAAAGACAATGCATCGTGACATTAAATTTGACTTATTTTGATGCCTAATTAATTTTTTATGAATTAATTAAAAATTTGACCAAATTAGTAGGCATTTCTATCCAACTACTCTACACTCGTCATCACGTTCAATAGCGCGTCATCACATTCAATAGGCGCGCAATGGTTTTTAGTCATGAAACTCTAGTGTAAATAAAACATGTAAAGTACTGAAAAATAAAAATGTTTTTAATAACAAGCTGTTATGTAATCATCATATTTATCTTTTCCCGTTGGTGCCCAAGACACATGGGGCAGATGAAGTAGAGTTCATCTGCCTCAGAAACCTCTGTATATGTAGGGTTCATGTGGTCAGTAATATGCAGTGTTTCTTCCAGACTTTTTTCTCCGGGGGGGGGGCACTTGAAATTTTTTAGTCATGTAACTCTATTGTAAATAATAACATGTAAAATACTAAAAAATGTTCATAAAAAACGTTTTAATAACAAGCTTTTATGTACTAATACTTCCTAGATCCAATAGATAATATAGTGACCAGAGGCGTAGCGAGGGGGGGGGCGGGGTTGCGGACCGCACCGGGTGACACCATTTAGGGGGGTGACACCAGGGCAAAAAATAGCAAAATATTTAGAGAAAAACTTGAGGGGAGGGGGGTGCAAATCGAAAGTTTGAGGGGGGTGCAAATCGAAAACTTGAGGGGGGGGGTGCAAATCGAAAACTTGAGGGAGGGTGGAAATCGAAAACTTGAGGGTGGGGTGCAAATCGAAAGTTCGAGGGAGGATGCATATCAAAAAATTTGAAAGTTTGTCCCCGGGAAGGGTCGCTACGCCTCTGGGGTGTGACACCATTAAGTGCCGCACCGGGTGACACCCGACCTCGCTACGCCACTGATAGTGACCCACGCTTTTCTTTATAGTATATAAATAGTAGTGTATTATATTACTATATATTTAAAGAAAGTCATTTATTTTCTACTTTTTAGTGCATTAGTACATAAAATCTTGTTATTAAAACGTTTTTTTAATGAATTTTTGTTACAAGCTTTTATATGAACTTGTCTTTCTATATGGGTCAAAACGGGTGAGCCCCTAGGGACGGGTATTCGCTAAGCCACCCACGGACTTATCATTCGGATCCACCTATGTATGTCAAGCTTACATGAAAAAGTACCAATGGTTTGGTAGTACGACACGTATCATTTATCGACCGGCTAAACCTTTGTAATACTTGCTCATTTCGAAATGTTCTCGCTGTGGAATTTTAATTAATCGCTCGGTAGTTTAATTTAATGTGTGGATTAATTGTAGAATGTTCTACTCAATGTTATATCCTATAATATTTGTTACACAGAAGATTTATTAATTGAAATTTGCAAATGACGTAGTGGACGGCCATTTTAGGTAGGTTATAGTGTGACGTAGTGGACGGCCGTTATTGCCAGTTGTAAGAGTGACGGCCGATATCTCTAGTTAAAAAGTGCCGTAATGGACGGTCTTTACAATTAGCTTCACTGTAGGATTAGTGGGCAGCTGTCATAGATATGTTAACAAGTTCTCTAATATATGACTGCTGTATCTAGGTTACCTGTAATATATGACTGCTGTATCTAGGTTATCTGTAATATATGACTGCTGTATCTAGGTTACCTGTAATATATGACTGCTGTATCTACGTTATCTGTAATATATGACTGCTGTATCTAGGTTACCTGTAATATATGACTGCTGTATCTAGGTTATCTGTAATATATGACTGCTGTATCTAGGTTATCTGTAATATATGACTGCTGTATCTACGTTATCTGTAATATATGACTGCTGTATCTAGGTTACCTGTAATATATGACTGCTGTATCTAGGTTATCTGTAATATATTACTGCTGTATCTAGGTTATCTGTAATATATGACTGCTGTATCTACGTTATCTGTAATATATGACTGCTGTATCTAGGTTACCTGTAATATATGACTGCTGTATCTAGGTTATCTGTAATATATGACTGCTGTATCTAGGTTATCTGTAATATATGACTGCTGTATCTACGTTATCTGTAATATATGACTGCTGTATCTAGGTTACCTGTAATATATGACTGCTGTATCTAGGTTATCTGTAATATATGACTGCTGTATCTAGGTTATCTGTAATATATGACTGCTGTATCTACGTTATCTGTAATATATGACTGCTGTATCTAGGTTATCTGTAATATATGACTGCTGTATCTAGGTTATCTGTAATATATGACTGCTGTATCTAGGTTATCTGTAATATATGACTGCTGTATCTACGTTATCTGTAATATATGACTGCTGTATCTAGGTTATCTGTAATATATGACTGCTGTATCTAGGTTATCTGTAATATATGACTGCTGTATCTAGTTTATCTGTAATATATGACTGCTGTATCAACGTTATCTGTAATATATGACTGCTGTATCTAGGTTATCTGTAATATATGACTGCTGTATCTAGGTTATCTGTAATATATGACTGCTGTATCTAGGTTACCTGTAATATATGACTGCTGTATCTAGGTTATCTGTAATATATGACTGCTGTATCTAGGTTATCTGTAATATATGACTGCTGTATCTACGTTATATGTAATATATGACTGCTGTATCTAGGTTATCTGTAATATATGACTGCTGTATCTAGGTTATCTGTAATATATGACTGCTGTATCTAGGTTACCTGTAATATATGACTGCTGTATCTAGGTTATCTGTAATATATGACTGCTGTATCTAGGTTATCTGTAATATATGACTGCTGTATCTAGGTTATCTGTAATATATGACTGCTGTATCTAGGTTATCTGTAATATATGACTGCTGTATCTAGGTTATCTGTAATATATTACTGCTGTATCTAGGTTATCTGTAATATATGACTGCTGTATCTACGTTATCTGTAATATATGACTGCTGTATCTAGGTTACCTGTAATATATGACTGCTGTATCTAGGTTATCTGTAATATATGACTGCTGTATCTAGGTTATCTGTAATATATGACTGCTGTATCTACGTTATCTGTAATATATGACTGCTGTATCTAGGTTACCTGTAATATATGACTGCTGTATCTAGGTTATCTGTAATATATGACTGCTGTATCTAGGTTATCTGTAATATATGACTGCTGTATCTACGTTATCTGTAATATATGACTGCTGTATCTAGGTTATCTGTAATATATGACTGCTGTATCTAGGTTATCTGTAATATATGACTGCTGTATCTAGGTTATCTGTAATATATGACTGCTGTATCTACGTTATCTGTAATATATGACTGCTGTATCTAGGTTATCTGTAATATATGACTGCTGTATCTAGGTTATCTGTAATATATGACTGCTGTATCTAGTTTATCTGTAATATATGACTGCTGTATCAACGTTATCTGTAATATATGACTGCTGTATCTAGGTTATCTGTAATATATGACTGCTGTATCTAGGTTATCTGTAATATATGACTGCTGTATCTAGGTTACCTGTAATATATGACTGCTGTATCTAGGTTATCTGTAATATATGACTGCTGTATCTAGGTTATCTGTAATATATGACTGCTGTATCTACGTTATATGTAATATATGACTGCTGTATCTAGGTTATCTGTAATATATGACTGCTGTATCTAGGTTATCTGTAATATATGACTGCTGTATCTAGGTTACCTGTAATATATGACTGCTGTATCTAGGTTATCTGTAATATATGACTGCTGTATCTAGGTTATCTGTAATATATGACTGCTGTATCTAGGTTATCTGTAATATATGACTGCTGTATCTAGGTTATCTGTAATATATGACTGCTGTATCTACGTTATCTGTAATATATGACTGCTGTATCTAGGTTACCTGTAATATATGACTGCTGTATGTAGGTTATCTGTAATATATTACTGCTGTATCTAGGTTATCTGTAATATATGACTGCTGTATCTACGTTATCTGTAATATATGACTGCTGTATCTACGTTATCTGTAATATATGACTGCTGTATCTAGGTTACCTGTAATATATGACTGCTGTATCTAGGTTATCTGTAATATATGACTGCTGTATCTAGGTTATCTGTAATATATGACTGCTGTATCTAGGTTATCAAGTATTGAAGACCGAACTATCTCAGAATTCAGAGAAGTATTAAACAAGGGATTTGTCAGTTTTATAATAATTAGTGTTGCTTGTAAATCTTATAAATCTTTGAAAATCTGTTTTGTCAGTAAAACCTCCATTTGTTCTAATAAAACAATATTTAATAAATTCCAGCGCAGTGTCATTATGAAATTTCAATACTTTTCATAAATTAACCCTGGTTGGATTATAGGGCTTACAGCGACATTGCTAATGAGCAAGTGAGCATTAAATATAAACCAGTTTATTTTTAGAAACAGTGGCGTGGCAAGATAGGGTGTCGCCACCTCATGGTGTCACCCCCCCCCCCGCCCACAAAAAAAGCGTAGCCTTTATAAGTATATATATAAATATATATATATATATATATATATATATATATATATATATATATATATATATATATATGGGGTCCCCAAAAAATTTCTGACGGGGGCCCCGCTCAGCCTTAATCCGCCCCTGGTCAACGGTACCGTCCGTGTCCACATCAGCCTTGGGTCAGAATGACACGGACACAGGCACGAACCACCCAGAGTCCAAGAAGTCACATGACATGGAACACGGCTAAAAATCGCTCACAGAATAATAAAAAAAAACAACTACATCAACGGTTGAGGTCCCTCAGGGGCCGCAACCCAATACATTATAACTTATATAGAGGTAACCATGCTCAGCATGTCGGCTTTTAACTTGGTAGCATGGAACATTTTTTTACTCCGGATTTTGATTCAATATGCAAACAATGCGACCAAGCAGCCACAATAAATCCCCGACTGAACCCCGACTGAGTTACCTGGTAGCAGACGTGTGAGATGGTGCGATTAAACAAACAAGCCGACGCTATCTCAAAGCCGCGCTCCAAAGTTTTAGCGTACACGTCCACATCAGCGCCAGAGGGGGTCAGCAAGATGGCGGCCAGAGCGATTTGCAGGAGCAGCAGCATCTAGGTAGAGAAACTCAACATTGAAATAAGTTAAATAAGTTATAACTAGGCATTTTCACAGGCTGTCTTGGCATTTTCACAGGGTGTCTTGGCATTTTCACAGGGTGTCTTGGCATTTTCACAGGGTGTCTTGGCATTTTCACAGGGTGTCTTGGCATGCTATTCTGAGGGTGTGAGCCTGTGTTGAGTTTCATCGTTGTCTTGTTAGCTTAACCGCTGACCCCGACACAAACTCCCTGAAAATTGATGTGCCAAACAACTTAAGGAAAACACCATTGAAAGTAAAGGTACCACAAAATGGTGCGGGCATTGAACCTTCTCACAACAATTCTTTCAAAAATATATCTAATATATGTATTCGTTTTTTATAATATTGAACAAAAGGCCATTTTACGACAAATATGACAAGTTCTGGAGAATACAGTTTTCTTAAGATTCTAAATTTGAAGAATCACGATCTTACATGTAGCACTGTTGGCAGGCCTGACATCAGGGGTCAAGTTTTGTTGAAAGGTGGGTTGTGGAAAAATTGGTGCCAACGACAAGTATATACTTGAACAAGATGAAAAAAATCTTAAAATATGGCATCACAAGAGTGTGGGTAGAAGTTTTTCAGGTCTGACATTGGCATGCAATCTATAAATAAACTTCTAGTAGGTTACATTGTGTCATCTGGTTGGCTAAAAGGTGTACATTGTGTCATCTGGTTGGCTAAAAGGTGTACATTGTGTCAACATCTGGTTGGCTAAAAGGTGTACATTGTGTCATCTGGTTGGCTAAAAGGTGTACATTGTGTCATCTGGTTGGCTAAAAGGTGTACATTGTGTCATCTGGTTGGCTAAAAGGTGTACATTGTGTCATCTGGTTGGCTAAAGTGTACATTGTGTCATCTGGTTGGCTAAAGTGTACATTGTGTCAACATCTGGTTGGCTAAAAGGTGTACATTGTGTCATCTGGTTGGCTAAAGTGTACATTGTGTCATCTGGTTGGCTAAAGTGTACATTGTGTCAACATCTGGTTGGCTAAAAGGTGTACATTGTCATCTGGTTGGCTAAAAGGTGTACATTGTGTCATATAGGTTGGCTAAAAGGTGTACATTATGTCATCTGGTTGGCTATAGTGTACATTGTGTCATCTGGTTGGCTAAAAGGTGTACATTGTGTCAACATCTGGTTGGCTAAAAGGTGTACATTGTCATCTGGTTGGCTAAAAGGTGTACATTGTGTTATCTGGTTGGCTAAAAGGTGTACATTGTGTTATCTTCTGGTTGGCTAAAAGGTGTACATTGTGTCATCTGGTTGGCTAAAAGGTGTACATTGTAACCTACGTGGCTACATGTGTATATAACCAAATTGAGATCTGAGCTTGCTAATGAAAAGTCTCACCTTTGAGTCCAGCTGTAGGTGTGGCCAGTCCAGCTGTAGGTGTGGCTAGTCCAGCTGTAGGTGTGGCTAGTCCAGCTGTAGGTGTGGCTAGTCCAGCTGTAGGTGTGGCTAGTCCAGCTGTAGGTGTGGCTAGTCCAGCTGTAGGTGTGGCTAGTCCAGCTGTAGGTGTGGCTAGTCCGGCTGTAGGTGTGGCTAGTCCAGCTGTAGGTGTGGCTAGTCCGCCCCGGCAATGAGAGAGCAGAAGCGTGAATCCATTTAAATATACTTTTTGCCATTCCGGCAGCCGCCAGTTATTGCACTGTTTGAAAATTGCAGCTGCGATTAATTGTTTTGTCACTCAGTGTAGAGGCGTAGCCGAGGTGAGGGGGTCATAAAACAACTATTATATCTGCCATATTAAGTCATCAAACAACACTTATATCTGCCATATTAAGTCATAAAACAACTATTATATCTGCCATATTAAGTCATAAAACAACTATTATATCTGCCATATGAAGTCATAAAACAACTATTATATCTGCCATATGAAGTCATAAAACAACTATTATATCTGCCATATGAAGTCATAAAACAACTATTATATCTGCCATATTAAGTCATCAAACAACTATTATATCTGCCATATGAAGTCTTCGGTGGAATGATTTGATATGCGCCTGGCATTTTCAGTGTAGACTTATCTATAAATTATTGTAGGAAAAAAGTCACCGGAAAAAAACCACAGGAAAAAATAAAGAAGGAGCGATCTCTCCTAAATCAATGTTTAAAGCACATTACGTTTTGACTAATAACTATTTTATAAATTATTTATACTCAAACAAGTATAACATTTAAAATATATAGGCCTATCATTCACTTGTAACGGGTACTTGTATAAGACTATGGGAGGTGGCTACTCGTGATATTGATATAATTTTAAAATCTTTTTTTAATTACTTAAAATTTTTAAAATTGAATAGAATATGGTAGAAAAAAGAATTGCGCATCAAGTGAATGGCAAACAATGTGTGTATAATAGTGTGAAATATTAGTACTTTATAAATTCATGTGCGATGTTTTAGAAACTGGAAATAGCGTGAAGAAAGCTGGGAGATGTTTTACTTGAATGTGAAATGTGAATTTTGTCCTCAACTCATCGCAATAATAGTACTGCCTGTATTCCCCTCATTTATCACGCTCATTGCATAACAAAGGATAGGATCAAAGCCGACACGGTAGAAAGGCTGTCATTAACACACAACCCACAACATGGATGAACAAGGCTGACCGAGGAAAAGCCGACGAAGGAAGGGCCTACGGCCAAAATTATATGCAAAACACAATGATGTGCCTACATGTCTTTAATAATTATTTTTCTACCGCGTATTTAACTATTAATTATTTAACTACATTATGAGAGTATTTTTACGTATTATTGCTACAATCCATAATGCTTTTAAAGTTTACAAATATGCTACAAAAAAATCTCGACCCACATTAATAAACACTCAACCCTTTACAATTCTCAACAATTACATCAATTATCCCCTCTGCTCTGGAGGTAAACTTGTCCCCTCTGGAGGTAAATTTGTCCCCTCTGGAGGTAAATTTGTCCCCTCTGGAGGTAAATTTGTCCCCTCTGGAGGTAAATTTGTCCCCTCTGGAGGTAAATTTGTCCCCTCTGGAGGTAAATTTGTCCCCTCTGGAGGTAAATTTGTTCCCTCTGGGGGTAAACTTGTCCCCTCTGAAGGTAAATTTGTCCCCTCTGTCCGTGTACGCCCATGACAAGTTCAGCGTGTGGTTATCGAGACTAGCATTAGAGGATAACAAATGGTAACAAAGGGTAATGGCGCATAGTCTTGACGGCAAAACCATTTCCAAAAAACAGATGGGTGAGCTCATTGAGCCGCCTCGTCGTGACAAATGCCGTCTGTCGAGTTGATTGTTCGCATGCCCAATTATCGAACACAAACCCCAACCATTAATCACACTCGGCAACGTGCAAGCTTTGAAGGACATCCAATCCATCGTTGTTCACAATTCTCAGCTCTTTTCACACCTTTACTATATATATATATATATATATATATATATATATATATATATATATATATATATATATATATATATATATATATATATATATATATATATATATATATATATATATAATTACAACATCATGTCATGTGTGTAAGTGCATTAGTGTGTTTTGTGAAAATCAGCTTTATTTTATCTCTGCTATAAAACCTCTTAACCTCTAGTCAGTCAAAAGAATATTAAACATGAATGCTTTGTATAAGTAATGGTGTGTCGTGTTATGTTTATGTTTTTTTGTATTTATATTATTGATTTTTTATACATTTCCTTTTTGTACAATGTCATTCTTTAGTAAGCATTTTATATAAAAAAAATTATAATTAAGAGAAGTAATTGCTTTTTAATTTGTTTAGTACAAATCTATTAAATGATCTTATGAGCACCCCTGTTTGGCTTTTTTAAAAAGAGAAATAATTCATGGAAGTGGTTTGAACATTTGCTTATCTTTGATAAGTTCGATTGTAGGAGAAAGAGGACTCGGCTTTCACTGTGGTTTAAAAATAAAAGGGAAAAGAATATACAATGGCGTGGGTGGTGTCTATAGAATAAAGATAATCCAACCGCAGCTACAGTAATCTTTTAAAAAAACAACCATCAAGTAAACAAGTTAATTAAAAAGTCTAGTGACAATTTTAGCGCAATTTCCTTATGTACGCGTCATTACGTTCAATAGATGTGTCATCACGTTCCATGGCTGCGCCATCACGTTCAGTAGGCGCGCAATGGTTTTTAGTCATATAACTATTGTTTTTTAAAAATGTGAAAAAATGATTAGGCCTAGCGAAACAAAACCTTGTAATTGTAACTCCCTATCACTCTCATATAAATTATAAATAAATTAATAGGGTACAAAAATAACGTTTGAATTAATAAGTAAATAAGTAATTTAAAAAATCCTTTCGAACCTCCACGATGCTCAGTTTAAATTAAAACTAGGCCTACAAGACGCTCAGTTTAAATTAAAACTAGGCCTACAAGACGCTCAGTTTAAAATATATTAAAAAAAATTTTGTGACCGAACGAAAGGATATTTTTGAAAACTTTCTTCGGCAATATTGGTTTAAATTATGGCAGGAATCGATTGGTAAATGTTTCAAGTCGCTAAGTGGTCTGGTTGCCGAGATATGGAGCAAACACTGCATTTGTTCGAGGTTTTTTGGCTTTTCCGGGAAATCCATGAAAGAAACCAGGAATTTTTTTGGCCTATGTTCATCCTCGTAACTTGCTTAACAAATTTGCTTTGGAACTAGTCCTCGATATTGCTTCGTTGAGGAGGAGATACGACTTAAAGCTGCGGACACACATCCATCCATTCATACATCCAGAAATGACGGGTTAATAAACGCAATTCTCCAGAATGGAAATTGCGCTAAAAATGCAAGAATTTTTTAAAAAATTTAACTATAAAAAAACATTATTATGGTGGGCGGTGGGCCCCTAAATGGCGTGCCCCCCCCCCCCCCCCCCGCATTGCGGGTTCGGTGAACGGAAAAAAGTCACAAGAAAAAAAAACAGATGTCTGTTTGTTTGCATTAAAATCTTGCTATCGATTTTATCTTTTCGCATTACTTTTTTTTTGGGTAAACGAAGACAACTCGTAAAAAACACGTGCCTTAAACCCGTGTCGAGTGGGTTAGCAATCGTGTGCCCAGCCACTCGACCATAACGTCTCCCCCATACTGGCCACCAGTTGTTCGGGTTGTTTGTACACTACGTGAACACTACTCAGTAAGCAAAAAGAGGGAGAGTACCGAACCTTGTTTTCATCAAATTACAATGAATGGGTTATGTCCCCTTTTCCCACGTTTTTTGTACAATTATATAGTGGTCTAAAATGATCAATAAAATGTTTCCATGGATCAATTTAGTAATAATAACAATTGAATATTCAATTGTCATCGGTAACAAAGCTTCCCTGAAAATTTCAGCGCGCTAGCTAACTGGGAAGTGCCCGAAATTTCGAGCGCAAGATTTGATTGGAAAAACAAACAAACAAACAAACAGAGGCGAAAGCAAGTTAAAGAAAACGTGGAAAAAATACTTAGGCCCTATACATTTTATTTTTCTCACATTTAATGGGCATGTGTTTTATTATGCTACATAATGGACATGTGTTCATTCTTTGCTCATGTCCATAAACGCTCTATTTAAGAGAATAAAAATGCACTTGCGTACTTTATAGTGCGCAATTTTCCGTTTTTTTCGGTCACTGAAATGAGGGTATCGCGTCTAATGTCCACATGGGTCGTGATGTTGACTGATGTCGTAAACACTGTTTAATTCAATTTCGCGAATCTTCGCAAATATATAATAATAATTTTCATCTTTTGAAGAAAACGTGCTTTTATTTTCTCGTATACAGAGTATAGTGAAAGTATTGCAATCGTGCACACAAATTAAATGAAATTTTAACAGCTTTCGCCGTTTGACACTTCCCTACTTTATCGTATACGAAATATAAAATAGATCTATAATTTGTGAAAAAAATTAAAATCGTGATTTTATCGAGTATTTTTTTTTACGTCTAATCAGTACCTTCATGATTCTCTGAAGAACGTCTCCCCCCCCCCTCCCCGAACGAAAAAGAATTCATATAGAAAATATATACTTTTACCGCCACCCCTCCCCCCCCCCCCCCCCCCCCCCGGAGAATGAAGTCTGAAAGAAACTTTGAGCATAATGTGGAGGGGATCATGGCCATATCTCTCACCATAATTACACCATTCCATTTCACCAAGGGCTTTAAACAGAAACATTAAGGTAAACAAAAGTTTAGAGTATAGACAACCACATTTCACAACCAAATTCAACATAGATCTAGATCAGGGGTCTCCAAAATTTTCAGTCCGAGGGCCGCATTAACTATGAAATATCAGTTCGGGGGCCAGAGTTTCTTTAAGGCATCTCTTCGGGGAGGGGGCCTCCCCCTCCCGAAGAACGTCTACCCCCCCCCCCCCCCACGGAGAAAAAGTCTGGAAGAAACGTTTTCGGGGGTTGATAACACACCCGAGGTCAAAGTTTGCTCTCAAATTGTTCTTCACGTATTTCATTTTGAAAATGTTTGTTCACACAGGTATGTTGTTTCGAAATTTGAAAGGTACTTTGATGCAGAACTTTTAATATTAGGGCAGTTTTCCTTGTGCAAAAACTTATATGAA